CCGGGCTGCCGCGGCGGCCACCGCGGCCGCCCGGCCTGCCGGGAGGGCTGCGAAATGCAGCGGGAGCGCCGAGCGCTCCGGGGAAGGCGGTGTGCCGAGCGGGCACGCTGCCCCAGCCCGCGAACAGGCGGCGCTTTGTAAACACCCAGGGAGAGCGGCTGCTCGGGCCCACCTGGATCCCGCTCCGTGCTGCCGTGTCCCCCCTTCCCCGGGACTTTGATCCGCTGCGCGCGGTGATAAAAGAGGCCTTTGAACCAAAATAGCATCTCTGCGAGGCGTTCCCGCCGAGGCCGGGATAAAAGGCTTTCGGCAGCAAACACATCCGTCTGTCCCGGAGCTGCTCCTTCTCCGCCGGTGCTGGCTGCCCTATTTTCCCTGTACAACAACCCCACACGTGCTTGTGTCCCAGGGGATTCTGGCAGGCGCTCCTGTAGGACCCTGTTCACTCGGCCTGGTTGTGGTGTCACTGCGTGTTGCCCTTGTGGCTGTGACCAGTGCGTGTCACTGTGTGTGTGTTGCCATGTGTGTGTTCATGGAAAGGTGTGTGTGTTGCGTGGGGGGCTGTCACACCCTGTGTTCCGGCTGTGCACAGGGGGCATGCGGCAGGGCGTTATGGCGTTGTGCATGCACATTTGTGCTGCAGCGGGGTGTCACACAAGTGCGAGAGCCCTACGGCATGTGGCATTGCACGGGGTGCCACCACTGTGTCCCTTGCCAGTGTGCCCGCTGCAGAGTGCACGGGAGCACCTGCAGTGTGGGCTATGCAGCAGTGCTGGCTGCACCGTGGTGCATGCAGCGCGATGGCATTGCAGCGCATGCAACGTGAAGGCGCTGCAGCGCAGAACGTGGTGACATTGCAGTGCATGCAAAACAATGTCATTGCAGTGCATGACCCAGTGGCATGGCAGTGTGCGCGTCACCGGGGCACGCCACGCGCGTCACAGTGTGCACCCTGCTTGCCTGTTGTGGTGGGTGCAGGGTGTGCGCTGCAGGGTGTAGATGGCTGGGTGCAGGTGGCAGGTGTAGGTCCTGGGTGCACAGTGCGGAGTGTAGGTAGTGGTTGTAGGTGGAGAGTGAAGGTGGTGGGTGTAGGTGCTGGATGAGCATGGCAGGGGGAAGGTGCTGAGTGTAGGTGCCTGGGCGGGTGCTGCAGGGTGTAGGTGGCGGGTGTAGGTGGTGGGTATAGGGGGTGGGTATAGGTTCCGGGCGTGCGCTGCAGGGTGTAGGTGGCGGGTGTAGGTGGTGGGTATAGGGGGTGGGTATAGGTTCCGGGCGTGCGCTGCAGGGTGTAGGTGGCGGGTGTAGGTGGTGGGTATAGGGGGTGGGTATAGGTTCCGGGCGTGCGCTGCAGGGTGTAGGTGGCGGGTGTGGTCGGGGCGTGCGCTCGAGGGTGTAGGTGGCGGGTGTAGGTGGTGGGTATAGGTGGTGGGTATAGGTGGTGGGTATAGGTTCCAGGTGTGCGCTGCAGGGTGTAGGTGGCGGGTGTAGGTGGCGGGTATAGGTGGTGGGTATAGGTTCCGGGCGTGCGCTGCAGGGTGTAGGTGGCGGGTGTAGGTGGTGGGTATAGGTGGTGGGTATAGGTGGGGGGCATAGGTTCCAGGGGTGGG